ACTATAACATCGTCCAAGTAACAAAATCATTTGGAGTCTTGCAAGCCTGATAGTACAACATCCATTAACCTCTGGATTAATAGGGATACGAGAACACAGCCGTGTTAAGTCTCCGATATATGGATTTTTTAACACACAAATATAAAATCATAAACATAATAACATTCACATGTGATATCCTGCACCTGTAAATGAAATTACGTTAAAATGAAATAATGTAGTACTGCATTTTATTGTAACACTGACCTATGAATGATGAAGATGAAGACCTTTCATTGATGAGAGGAATACTTGCAGTGATGATGATGATAATAGATTTGGAAGCTAAGAGGTTAGTTTAAGGCTGATGGATCATCGGAAAATTCGGCCTCAAACTCCAATGAAGCACATGTAGAAGTCAATGGGATGGGGTTAGAAGGTGTTACATTGGCTGACTTGGGCTTCCTAGAGTCAGTAATTATCGGCTGTTTGGCTGTCCTCTGCAAATCTTTCAAGATTTCCCTGTACGGTGCTAGAATGTCATTAAACCCTCTTTTAAATTATGGGATCTATGTCTACAGCCATTTCTCAGAGCTCATCTGCATTGCATAGGAAATTGGACACAGCCTACACTGTGAGGATAAGTTCAGGAGGTTCTGTCACTTCAGCATCTTCATCACTGTTACTGGAGGCTATTAGCACTTTAAGTATTTCATTCATTGGCCATTGATAATTGGATCCAGCAGCTCAACCACCTCCTCATCCCTCCTATTATCAAACCTCTTGCCTCCAATTTATTTAGCAAGTTTCACAATATAGGCAACTTCCTTCTCACCCTTCGGAAAGCCCCTAAAATTGTTCACAACTTCAGGCCAAAGATGATGCCAGCATGTATTTATGGCAGACTCTTTCACCTCTTCCCATGATATTTTGGTGATATTGATACAGTCCTTTCCAAAATACTGGAGCCTATAGCTTGGGTTGCATATTGGTAGACAATTCCTTGTATAGTAAGACTTGAATGTCTTTATTACTCCTTGGTCCATCAGTTGCAGGATGGATGTGGTATTGGGAGGTAAAAATATTATGTCCACTTTTAGGATGGCTGAATTGCAATGTGTCAGGGTCATGGATAGAAGCATTATTAAAAACTAGAAGAACCTTAAAGTCGAGGTTTTTCTTTGCTAGGTTTCCTTTAACTTCATGCACAAAATGATATTGCAACCAGTCATTGAATAGCATCCTAGTTACCCAAGCCTTTTTATTTGAACACCAAGTAACAGGCAAATGTTGCCTTTTAATGTGTGTGGGTTTGTGGAGTGATATACTAACATAGGCTTGCATCTAAAGTCAACTGATGCATTCCCGCAAAAAAGCAATGTGAGCTTATCCTTAAAGGCCTTAAACCTGGATGCTACCTTCTGCTCCTTGGTGATGTATGTCCTGTTACCCATCTTCTTATAAAAGAGCCCTGTCTCATCTGCATTAAACACCTGTTGAGGGGCATATCCTTTTTTCCTTAATAAATTAAAGGAACCACGGCTTGAACCACGCAGCTGCATCACTATCAGCTGACCCAGCTTCACCTTGCAGGTTGAAGCGTTGCTTAAATATGGCAACCCAGCCTTTACTTGCCTGGAACTCGCTGGCATTCACAGCACTTCCACCCTCATTTGAGACTATGTTTTGATGCAAACTATACATATAACTATGCTATCAACAACAGAGCATTTTTTTGTTCACTGATCCACACATTCAATAATTTCTTCATTTTTTTCATGAATGGATTCTTCCTAGGCACTTGAGAAACCTTAGCACTTATAGGGGCAGAAGCCTTAACACTTGCATGGATTTTCTCCTTACTCATCCTAATCTTATGTATGGAAGACTCATTCATATTCCCAGCCTGTGGATGCTACACTCATTCTGCTTTGTAACTTATCAAGGATCTAAATCTCATCCTAATCTTACGTATGGAAGACTCATTCATATTCCCAGCCTGTGGATGCTACACTCATTCTGCTTTGTAACTTATCAAGGATCTAAATCTCATCCTAATCTTACGTATGGAAGACTCATTCATGCCATATTCCCAGCCTATGGATGCTACACTCACCCTGCTTTGTAATTTATCAAAAATCTGAATTTTCTCAGTTAATGTCATAACTGTGGCTTTTCTTTGCCTCACTAACATTTGGAGATGCTTTATTTTTTGATTCCATGCTGCTATCAAAGTGTAAAGCAGCAAAAAATTGCAAAAATAAATTGACTACATAGCAACGAACTTAACCTAATCACTTAGACAAATGGTGGGGATGGAGTGAGGCTCAGGAAGCTGAAGTTTGTTTATTTTAATCCTTTTATTATAATTTATTTTAATTTTTATTAAATTACTTTTTGTTAATGTTATGCCAATTAGTATAGCATAAAATCTTAGCTAATAATCCATATTTTAATAGTATATAAGATTTAAGTTCTTAATTCTATAAGGCAATATTTAAAAAAATCCTGAATTTTCCCTAGTATTACACACAAGACACATTTTCTTTAGGTACCTTCTCTTCTCTGTTTTATTCACCACCCCTACCCCCAGTAATGATGAAATGAAATTTAAATTACTCACTATAAAATTGTTATTTCTCAGACAAATTATAATTTTATAGCCTTCAATATTTTTTGGTTACAGAGCCATCAAATAAAAATCAGACCCCTCTTGCCACACCCACCTGTCACATCTTCTCTTTCAATATTTGTTAATAGTTTTCTGTTATATTTAATTCTATGTTATATATAACCAATAAAAGCCAAGGTTTTCATCTATCAAATAATGTATCATATTACATTGTGTTCTGAACAGATAGATGTCCATTTCACTTATAATACATGTTTATTCCTGTGGGAACATTAACGATTACCTTGGATGAATTTGTAACAGCTCTTATCACATAGTTAGAAAGCCAGAGAAAAATGAGAGTTAGGGGAAATTGTCTACTTTTTGCATGTTATAAGTATATGTTCTTTTGTGCATTATTTAATTATAAAATGTAATTATAGATAGATTTATGCTGTTATAAGCTTAAAGCTACTTAGGATAAACGAATGTAGTGTCATGTTACGATATGAAGTCATTCTAGAAAGAAAAAAGAGTAATTTAGATTTATTTATTTTTTTGGTGGTTACAAGGTTGGTCAAATAGACTGATCCCATATAGAGATAGAGTAGAGAAAATAACAGATAAAATATAAAGTGTACTGAAAAAAAAAACGTTTTAAATATACTTAGGAGGTTTTTTAAGGATTACAAGGAAATTTGAGATTTTTGAGATGGAGAAAAGTATCTTTAATCTTAACATGAAAATTACTTTGCATATGGACTATTCTAAGCAAATACTCAATATATTTATGGACAAATCTTTATTTTAGTTTATTAAAAATACTTCACTAAATATATGATTTTTGTATGTGAAAGATTTATAATATTAACTGAAAGACTGCCAAATTTCGTGAAGATATACACACTCTAATGAAAATTAGAAGTATTAAATCTATAATGCTTTTAAACGAGTACAAAAAGGAGATGTGATCAGTCAAACTTACCAAGTCTATGTTGAGAGAGTTATAGTGAGATAAAGTGCTCATATGTTTGCGTGTTGAGGGAACCACGCATGATCAAATTTTCCGTGTTCGGCAGATAATTGGTTGCTTTTATATTTGCGTGTATAAGTAAATCCATGTTGGACGAACCTCTGGTGTAGGATGGTTTATTGTACTATCATTACTATTAAAAAAAAGTAGGGTTAAATGTCGTCAACAGTAGAAAAAAGAATGAAGATCCAGGTAAGTACTTTTTTCACGTTTATTCTTTATTTATTTTTATAAAAGTAACTAAAATGTAAAATTAAGGATCTCTTTAGGTTAGTTGAGATTATATTAGGAAAAATAGATGGTAATAATATAATAAAAATGTTTCATGAGTCACACACACGAGCAGCTCGAACACAGAGTACTTGTGGGTAATGTTAGTCGATAACGTAAAATGAGCTTCATGTTCCCCAAGTGATTTACAACAACTTATAATAGCATGAAAAGTAGTTAGTTTGTTACAAGCTTAAAGCTGCTTAGGATAAATGAATGTAGTTTTATGTTACATTTTGGTGGTGGTGGTTACGAGGTCAGTCAATTTCCACTTTGAGAATGCTGTGAAACCTTATAGATATACTGCGTGTTGGTATAATATGCCTAAAGATGTAGTGTGGGATCACCTAGCCTAGAACCAAGTGCATAAAATTTATCCTGAAAGTAAAGATATGGAATCAATTTTAAATTTAACTCATTTCTGAATTAAGCTATTTTTTGTAATATCACCAACATAAAAAAGCAAACCTCATCTTAATTTTGATTGGCTCACAAAGAAATTTTACTAATGTTTGTTGGTCAAGCTTGATTTTGCAAAAGTTATTTATTTCAGTTAGCTCTGAAATATGAGGTTTGGGTATACTATAGGGTGGGGGTGGCAGTACTTGCCCCATTATTTTTGACAGGCTATATGCTAGTTTGCTTTATAAAATGTACTGAATTAGCATTTAAAATAATGAAACCTTTTAAGGGGAAAGTTTCAACTCTCCCTCATAATATTTTGTAGATTACTTACCTCTATACACATGTAGATAAGAGGAATTAGGGCACTCTGATGGCATGAATTGCTTTTAATTAAATAATATAATGTGCATATGATTCTCTACTTGCTGTTAAAGCACTAGAATACAAGTTGAAGTGTATTACATGCTATTTAAATAAATTTTTGTTTCCTTTAAAGTAAAGTTGTGTGGTGTGTATTTTTAAATTGTGTAATTTCAATAAAGAAACAAATGCCCAATATTTGTTTACTTCAGTTATGATGTGAATTATGTGTTTTTAACTTTTTAAATTAATTTTAAACTGGTATATTTCTATATTGGAATATGGTGTTTTATCATTGCATAATTTTGTAAGAGATTGAATTATTGTTGTTTAAATTTACAGATGAAATAAAGAGAGAAAAGGACTTTTACAGAAGAAGAGGCCTCCCTTATCCTAAGGGCAATCTTCGTAAGGAGGGATTTCTGTTTTTTTATGTCCCATATTCAAGACTATCAAAAGCTTTTGTTTTCGTCAATACTTGTTGTTGTTTTTTCATGTGTTATGTACAGCATTTGTTTTTGTGCTTCATATTAATGTGAGTCCTAAAGATTAATGTATTTTGTACAATGTAAGAAATAAATGTATGTCCTTATATTGAAATTCTCACAATTAGTGACATATTAATAATGGTTATTACCAGGAACTTAGCATTATTATTCAATAGTCTTTATACTTGAATAGTAAAGATTTAAACTGATTTGAAATGTGGTGGATATAATAATGTTTTTGTTCCTTCAATTTAAAGCTGATAGCTTGTGTACATGGTTTACACAGATCTGGAAGAAAATGGGAATATATAATTGTTTTATTTGTCAAGGAAAAGTCCTTATATATCATTTCAGTGCTTTAAAATAAAAAATATATATAAATTGTGGTGGTTGTGAATAATGGATGAAAAGAAGCAGTGGCCAAAACACAGAATGATTTTTCTGTTCTTCAAATTATTTAACATCATTTTGTTCTCAGAGTTGACTATGCTAGCCTCTTTTCTTTGTTTATAGAGTTAGATTTATAATTAGTTACACATTTAATTTAGATTTTTTTAACTCCTAATATTTCATTACTGAAGGTTATTAACAAGAAATAGGGAATAATTGTCTTAACTATGATAATATATTCATGAGGAAAATCAAGGTGATAACAAAATCCTATAAAATTGAAGGAACTTGTTTTAATTTATGGAATTAAAAGGGACATTACTTTTGTATTTCAACCTCCAGGCAGGATGAATGATTTTTGGCTTGTCTGATATTCGTTCTCAGATGCTCGTAATGATTTTCCTCTAAGTAGCTAATTTTAGATTAATTTTATGATGAAAACAAATCTGTAAAATGATTTAAAACTATTTGTAGGAACCAAATTGATTTTTTTATTATTTTTTTAGTTGCACTTGGAGATAAGGATTCCCCTTTACAGGCATCTTCCTCCAGAGAAGAAGACACAGACAGTCACCGATTAGATGAGCAAGTGAACATTCTTCTTGAATCTCAAAACAATGGACTTAAACAGATGAGAAGAAAGTTTATCCGCTGCTCAGCTCAAGCAACAGTGACCCATCTAAAAAAGTTTATAGCAAAGAAGTTGTTTAATAACTTAGAAAAATATAGAGAAGTATGATCGATTAGTTGTTGGTTCTTATTATGCTTTAGTTAGAAGTGTATTATAATATAGAAGACCAGTTTGAAAGCAAGCAATAATATGTTTTTCTCATCATTTGAATATAATTATTTATATATAATGACAATGTAGTAGCATAACCAAACTATGGAATTATATGGAAGTTACTAACACTAGCAGAAACACTGTCCTATGGGCAGCTATTTGTGATAGTAATTACTAATCGTAATATCCATACCTCATTGAAATATAATTAGAAAAAAGTGAACATTTTCTAAGAAAAACAGAAGTACTGAATGGGAAAAGTGTTCAGATTGTGCTGATGTAAACTAATGTTTTTATATGTTAAAAGTGATACCCTTTAGGGAAAAAAAACAAGTTTTATTTAAGAATTCCATTTTTTTTAGTACTGTGTTTAGAAATTACACCAATAAAGATATAATAAAACCCTCACGTACAATCCTAGTTAAAATCATGTTCTTGTTTTGAGGAGAGTATTTTTATTTAAGATTGTGTTCTGTGATAAAGAAATGGTTGTTGTACACACCATAGTTATTTTTCTAATTGTCTGATTCTTGAATACCCAAAGTGTGAAATGTTTTTATGGATTGTTGTTTGTTGTGCCATTCAACAGGTGGCACCAAATTATATTTATTATTTCAGTCACATACATAGATAGATACATGCCACATCCATTATAGTAAGATTTTCTTTTTCTTGCGTGTGTGTGTACACTTAAAAAATGAGAAAAGCTTTCTTTCCAAACAAATTGTATTTTTTCTCATCAATCTTTATTTTTGAATCTTAATTTAAGAAAACATTTAGATATTTAATGCTTAACACCTAAACTTGGACTTTAATTATCTGAGACAAATTTCTTATAAATTCATGGTGCAACTTCTGAAAAGTGTATTATTATTATTAGCTTAAATTATGACATTAAAAGCTAAGTACTGACATGTTAATCTTTTCAATAATAAAGAACAATTAGAGCACAGATAATAAGAGGTAAATTTACTATTTATTGTGTTATAGAAAGACAGTCTTAAAATATGAAGAAAGTAGAAGTTCAAACACTGGTGTCATTATGTACATGAATATGTTAATTGTTGAGAGTAATATTTAATGTTTGATTTTAAGTTTAACAACAACAGGCAATATTGTAACTTAAATTTTATTTACTACTATGTTAGTTGTATAATGCAAACTGTTTTTTATATTGAGAAAAAAAACTTAAAACTTTCTTTCAACATAAGTATTTATAGTTTTAAGAGCTTAGAAGCAAGAGTATCTTGACTGCTACATTTATTGGGCACTGACAAATGATTTTTAGCCAAAATACTGAGTGGCTTCTCTGTCCTTCAAATTATTTAACCTTTTTTGTTTTCAGAGTTTATTACACTAGCTTCTGTAAGCCAGTGATATAATTTTAACTGATGTTTTTATTTTATTAAATTGTGAATCTGTTAACATGATAACAACAATAGTAGGTAATGTTCTCAGTGGGAACCAAAACTTTTTAAAGAAAGTAGTTTTTATTTTATCTTTTGTAATAAGTGTTGATAATTCTAAACAACCTGCTTACAAATATATTTCTTCAGGTTAAACTATAATATAGTTTTGAAAACATGACAGTAAATTCACACTGATATTTATTTCAGGTTGATATACTTTGTAATGAAGAAATCCTGGGTAAAGATCACACACTAAAGTTTGTTTGTGTCACTCGTTGGAGGTTTCAGGTTAGTGTTGTTATTTGTTTTTAAATTTATTAATTGTATGTATTAACCCTATCGCCACAGGCATCCTTTACTGCACATGTCACAAGGTTTTGGTGATTAACATTAAAAATTTTATTAATCTACTTTTTGTTTGTTATACCAATTAGTATAGCATAAAATCTTAGTCAATAATCCATATTCTAATTGTATATAAGTTTTAAGTTCTTATTTTATAAGGCAATATTTTAAAAAATCCTGAATTTCCCCTAGTGTGACACATATGACATTTTCTCTAGACATCTCCTTTTCTCTATTTTATCCACCATCCCTCCAGTAAGTACAAAATTCAATGTAAATTATTTACTATAAAATTGTCATTGCTCAAACAAAGTATAATTTTTAAAGCCTTCAGTTTTGTTTGGTTACAGAGCCATCAAATAGAAAATCAGACCCCTTTTGGCACACCCACTTTTCACATTCTTTCTTTCAGGATTTGTTAATAGTTATCTCTTACATTTAATTCTATATTATCTATAACCAATAGAAAGCCAAGATCTTCATCTATCAAATGACATATCATATAACATTGTTTTCTGAATGGAGAATTGTCAATTTCACTGTTAGTACAAGTTCCCATGGGAAAGATAATGACTAGCTTGGATGATTTTGTAACTTTTCTTGTTACATAGGTAGAAAGCCAGAAAAATTGTAATAGTTAGGGGAAATTGTCTACTTTTTTGCATGCTATTATTCTTATTATAAAAGTAACTAAAATGTAAAAATTGGGATCTCTTTAGGTTAGTTAGGGTTAGATTCGGTAAAATAATTAATAATAATTATATAATAAGAATGTTTCACGGGGCATGCATCCAAGCAGCTCACGGGTAATGTAGTTCGATAGTGTAATGTGAGCTCCACATTCCTAAAGTAATTTACAACTTATAATGGCACAAATAGTAGTTAGACATGGTTCAAAGGGCAATAAAACAATAACATTTGATTATAAATAGATGTATACTCTTATGAGTTTAAAGCTAATTAGGATAAACATGTTACAATTTGAAGTAATTCTAGAAACAAAAAAAGGGTAGTTTTGATTTTGTTGTTGTTGTTACAAAGTGAGAATTAGGGTAGAGAAAATAACAGATAAAATACAAAGTTTTACTGAAAACAAACATTTGAAATGTATTTAGATGAAGAAAAGTATTTTTAATCTTAACATGAAAAATTACTTTGCATACGGACTATTCAAAACAAATTATATTGATGGACAAATCTTTTTTTAGTTTGTTTAAAATACTTCACAAAAACATATTTTATTATAATTTTTTGTATGTGAAAAACTTATAATGCTTACTGAAAAACTGCACAATTTCATTGTATTGAAAGTTTGTTGTAACAAGTCTATAAAGACTTTGAACAAGTACAAAGAGGTCACGTGGTAGGTCATATTGACTGAGCTCATATTGAGAGAGGTTAAACTGGTTTCTCAAACTTAGAATTACACCTAAGCTACCTTAATTCAAACTTAAAATTATTGAAAAGAAAGTATAGCGAAATAAGACAATGAAAAAATAGGAATAAATATAATAAAGTAAAATAACTTGTCACAACTTGAAAGAAAGTAAAACTCCAAGACCTTAAAGAACAAGTTTTTGATGCATTTGTTGATTTTGGTGATGTAGTTTATTGTTTTCAATCAAATAAGAGTTATCATATATAAATATTTTTGGAAATTTATAGCATGTAATTAACCCTTTCCACATGGATCAAAGACCATGTCATCGCGTTTGTTGACTAGCATTTAAAACATTATTGAACTATTATTTTATGAATTTATGCCAATAAGTTTGGTATCAAACTGTAGATTATAATTCAAATTTTTGTATTATATGTTATTTAATTTCTTATTTTAAAAGTAAATATTAAAAAAATACACCTAAACGTCAATTTTTGTGTGTCACGTGGTATGTTGAATATTTGTGATGTCAAAATACAAGTTCTATAGTTTTGTACGAATTAGGAACTCAAATTACCAATACTGACAAGCTAGAATATAAAATAAGGACCTCCTATATTTTATGTTTTCTGAGATATCTCTCATGTACTGAATGACATGCAGTGGCCCCGATCACCTCTTTCAGTTTTTGGAAACAGTCCCTTATATATACATAGTTCTATTTTTCACATGTGAATAACCAATCAAAAGCTTAGAATTTCCCCTAGTGGCTTTCTCAGTCATTTTAAATTTTAGGACGCCATCTCATCCTTTTGAACCAAGATCTCAAAGAAGTATGTTGTATTTTTAGTCTGCTCCAAATTTCATATTTTCTTAGACCAAAATATAGCTTAGTTACTAAGTCTGATAAATTATAGTAGAATTCTATGGTATTGATATAGTAATTTATGATTTTTTGGTTATTCAACTGTATATATAAAACAAAAGAAGTTATTTCGTTTCACATCCTCCACGTGTGAACTAGAAGAGATAATTGTTTGTTTTACGTCTTTATTTACTGTTCTGTTTTAAGAAAATTAAGTTTTAAGAAGTTATTTGTAAGTAGTAATAATGTATAATAATTGAAATGTGACCGTATTTTACAAAATACTAGTCCACTAAAACACAACCAAGACAGGTCACTTTGTAGAGACTAAAGGTCAGTTTTATATTGTTGGATATGATAACATGAGTGCACGTGCACTGCATCATTGTATTGTTAGCCAGGCATGGCTGAAAGGTCAATGTATAATGTTATGAGATTTAAGCTATTTAGTCTAAACATTTGTGTTTTTGCGTTATAATTTATAGTCATTCTAGAATGAAAAAAGCATAATTTTTATTTATTTTTTAATGGTAGTTACGAGATCGGTCAAATCGACCAAACCCATACAGATATGCATTAGTGAAAATAACAGATAAAAGATAAAGTTTTTTTCTATAAAAATGTTTGATAACTATCTGGACATTATAAGGATTTTGCATATGGAATATGAAAATTTTCTGATGCGTAAAAGTATTTTAATCTTAAAATGAAAATTACTTTGCATGTTGGATAGAAAACCTGCAAAAAGAAAGAAAAAGCATGAGAAAAACATTGCTTTAGAAAAAATCTAAATTAGATATCTTATAGGACCTTTCATCTCAAATTTATAAGAATTTTATCCACTAGTTTCATTTTTGTAAAGAATTTTCACAAGAGTTGCATAACTACTGACAATGTAAGTAGTTCATAGTCAAAGTGTTAAAATATAAATGTAAAAGATTTTGAGGCATTTCTTGCATTAGAATATTTATTATTGGTTAGCTTTTAACTCCTGTGGTGAACCTTCTTTGGGCTGTAAAAATAATAATATTATACAGGAGTCAGATGCTAACCAATAATAAATATTCTAGAATTAAAGTAATTATTAAGGAAACCATACTTTTTTTGTTCTATGTAACCATACATTTTACCATTCCTGTAGGATGCAGTAGCATTTTATCCTGACTATTGCTGTTGTGGGTTTTCATGTTGTACAGTTATTTTTTTGTATTTCAGATATTAAATATACACTTGTTATTTCATTGACAACTTATAGTGGATAGTTGAAATGCTTTTTATATTAGAAGAAATGCAATGTTTCGACCACTAGAGCAATAGTTTTCAAGTACAAACACAGAACAAATTAAATTGGAATGTCATTACAATATTAATAACAAGATAGACAAAGCATTTGTAAATGTAGGTAAAATTAAAAGTGAAAAATGTGCAAACTTTAAATGATTTGTGAAAAATAGTATACTTGGTATTAATAGTAAACCTAATTTTCATAAAAATGTGAGTTGGTGTGGTAGTTAGTCTCCTAAGTTAACTTACAGAAGTCAAAAAAAGGTTAAGAAATCTGCCTGGATGTTTATTAATGTTGGTACTGTGTGTTTTAATTAGCAAAGAAAAAATATATAAATCCATATTTGCTCATGCTCAGATAAAATTATACATACCTAGACAGAATACTAAAATGAAAAAAATTGTTTAAAATGTCCAAATATAGTCATTAAGGAGATCATCAATGAAAAATACAAGGAACTAAACTTCCTCCATCAAAAATAATACAAACTTCTTAATGACTGGCTCAAATAATGACACCAGATGACTACAACTTGTTCAATTTAATTAAAAACAGTACTCACTTTATAGGCTTAACAATAAAAAAAATCTTGGACAAAAAGCTGAAAAACATTCAAACACAACATGCAAGTATGGAATTTACCAAGAATAACAGTGAACCTCACTAATTCCGATGTTAGTGAACAACAAGTCACAACCCTAAACAGAAAACAAAACTTTATCGCAACATCAAATTTCACTCCAGTGTACAACGTAAAAATCTGACTTGAGGATGTGTGTAAAAAATTGGTT